AATGGTTACTATTGTTGCTTACAACTTATAAACCATCGAGCGTATGTATTATTGGGCAGCTTTAAGCCTGGTTGGCATAGTGAAAGACTCGACTTGTTTAGGTTGAACAAAATTTAGGTATATTAGTTTCTTTTTATTTCAAGTCACTGCGTGTATAAATTAATCAAAGTTCAATACGTTTAATACTCGTATTAATGTTTCTCACACCGTTCAATAACGTTAATTTATATTATATATATAATATAATTTTTATTATTTATATTATATTTCTTACTATATATTACTTACCTACTCTAATGAATGCGATTCATTTAGGTGGTTAAAACATTATGCTGCATTATTATTCGTATATTTATGTATATCATATACAGTCAAGACAAAATATTAGGATTAATACATTTTTAAATGTAACAATACATTGCAAAACCATTGGAATGATGAAGAAAGTAAATTTCTAGAATTTTTATTAGTGTACAATTTGAATTCGATTATCTGGCGAATGCGCCAGTAATATGACAATAGAAGGATTTAAGAATAGAAATACTTGCTTGGAAAACGTAAAAATGAAATAAAGCGAATACACATTCTGGTATGATTTTAAGATAAGGATAATGCAAGGATTTGCTTGGATAATTCATTTATGCATAACTGTGTTTGTCGTCAAAATTTCCAACCAAAAGTTACAATGTGTACCACCAACATCGTAATTGATTTATTACAACTAACTTTTTCCATATTTCATTAATTTTTTTTTAATTACTATATTTATTTAACTTATAGAAAACTATAAACATTTCAAGGAACATTATATCCAGGAAGATGGCATAAAAATTTTAAAATACTGGTAGGTAATATTTATTTTTCTCAAAATAAATTTTAGTGTCGTTTGTTTCTGAGGCAGATTTTTAACAGCTTCTAATTCAAAAATGGAACATTTTAAAACAAATGATGAGCATACGAAAAATTTTCTTTATATAAAAAAAAAACAGAAAAAGCTATGTCGTCTTTTATAATACTAATTTTGGATCATATTTTTAAAAGGTCATACCGTTTTCGTATTCCATTGTGCCATTACAGTGTATATATCGTTATGAAACACCCTGTATACATACGTAGTTTGATTCCTTTGAGACGGAAACGTCTTTGTAAAATGTTTTTCTATGATCCGATTTGCTTAGTCTGTTTTTAAGGTTTAAAGAATTCCAATTACCTAGTCATAGTTGTTTTTAAAGCTGGCGATTTATAGACAAGAAATCGCATTTTTAGTAAGACAATGATAAAACAAAAAGATCCATCTAGAAAAATTATCTCTTGAAGCTATTTTCACTTCAAAACCTTGCTCTTTAATGTGTTACTGAATTAAGCTTGAAAAAAGAGTAGATACTTAAGGTGATACAGGCTTACTAATTATTCTGTATTATTGTGGTTTTCAAGGTGCTGTTATTATTGTGGTTTACTGTTTACATAAGTCTTAATGTCTTAATGGCCTATATAATGTCTATAATAATGTTAAATATTGTTTTAATTTATGATGAATTGATGAAGCAAGATAAACTGAATTAGACCGAGTAAAATCGACCAATAAGAAAGTTTCGCAAAGATAATCTGTATTATAGTAATTTTTCTTATTAATTTTAAAATATCATAGGCCAACTTAATAAAATTTGTTTTGCTAACACGATTTTATTAGCTGGCTTTTACTAACAAGAGAGCGCCTTCTTACGGTAAATAGATACATCTTTTCGTCTAAAAATAGATAAATAATTTATTTCATGAGGTAATTGACTTGAGGACTACCTATTAACGTTTACAAATAATTGATCCATGGCAAAGTAAAAATTGTCAAATATTGTAAATTAATATATGCATGTGAAGAGTAGGTATGTATGTAACTTTGGCTTTTAAGGTTAAGGAGGTGCAATGAAAGTCTGTAATTTTAACATTCCAGTAATATACAGGGTGTCCCGCATAAGAACTGATACAGTACAGGTGTAAAATATTGAAGAACCAAATTTGGTACAAGATTTAGGTTAATTACTGGGCTTCTTTGACTATGATTTAAAGTTAATTGATGCACTGCAAGGTGTTCATTGGGGATGACTCACCCCTAAAATTGTACCGAACATTTTTTCATTGATCGAATTGAAAAATAATAATATTAATTCACTGCAGAATTTAATTTTTTTACTCTTGTTTAATTTTAAAAAACTATGGTTTAAAAAAAAAACGTATTAACTGAAACAAGATTTTAACAGTGTTTATTAGAAAATAATCGAAAAGTCAGTAGTNTAAAAATAGATAAATAATTTATTTCATGAGGTAATTGACTTGAGGACTACCTATTAACGTTTACAAATAATTGATCCATGGCAAAGTAAAAATTATAAAATATTGAAAATGAATATATGCATGTGAAGAGTAGGTATGTATGTAACTTTGGCTTATATTTTTTGTTTTATATGTATTTAGAAAGTTAAAACTAAAAAGCGAGGCTGTCTAATTATAGATATCTTATTTTTATTTGTAATTTTTTAAATATGAAAGAAACATTTAAAGGCAAATTTAAAATATGGCAAAAAATCACTAATCAATGTCTAAAAAGTCACTTATTTGTAGTATAAAAAGAAATTTGCTGGATATTGTCATAAAACTCATCGTCATATTAAGTTGATAACCTAAGAACTGCGAAAAATGGGGAAAAAATGTACTGTAGCTACCCGTAATAAGATGATCTTGCAACAATACATAAAAAAGTTAAGAAAACATTTTTTGACCCCTAAATATAGACTCCTTTAGCAAAGTACATATTTTTTATTATAACCCTTCTGGAGCCTATTTAAAATAGATATCTTCTTATGTTTTTCTTTGAATGTTAGGTAGGTAGATATTGTTGATGATTGATGGTTTTCAGTATCAGGATTTTCTTCAAAATTATGTTCCTCAACTTTTTGAAAATGATCCTTAGTTGTTAGACAACCAATGTAGTTCTTGCACGATGGTGTAGGTACTCATATTTTCGACAAAATATTTTTACTCAGTGAAATTCGAAAAGTGAGATAGACCGGACGAGAAGGATCGGTAGCTTGGCTACCGCACTCTTCTAACTTAAATCCTATGGACTTTTTTATGGAGACATTTAAAAAATTAAGTGGACCGTGCTGATGTGGAAACTACTGATGATTCATGTGAACGCATTACAGTTGCTGTTAATAATTTGCAATTGCAAAACCAGCCAGAGGAAGGAACATTAATCGGTGGAGAACATTTTGAGCAGTTGTAACATCAAGTAAGTAAATAGCAAGTACATTTTTTTATTACATTAAGTAACATTTTCTGACTGTATTTAACAATAGCAGGAATTAGTAACAGTAAAAAAATAAAATCGTGCATTGAAATGACTAATATAAAACAGCTATGAAAAAATTCTGTTTATTATCAGTAACTGTAAATTATGGATACATTATAGTAGTGATAAATTAAGTTGAGATAGTCTCTATTTACTTTTAATACAGGTTCCACTGTAGCTACATACACTAGGTACAGAAATTAAGGGATATTAAAAAAATCCGGAATCGCCATGGCAATGACAGATGTTCTCTCGTTTGGCGTCGTATCGTGAGGAACGTGATACTGATAATTTTACGCGGCGAATTACGTCTTTTAATGACGGTTCAGTTATGGTATGGGCAAGCGTATCCATTAATACCAGAATTCAGTTGGTATCTAATCATTCCCATCATTGACTTCCGAAAGGTACATCACCGAAATCCTTGAACCACACGTCCTGCCCATGCGTAAAACCATGCGAAATCGTTTCATTCTCATGTAGGATAATGCTCTTCTGCATACCGCAAAACGTATGAGAAAATACGCCAACAACGTGGTAACTCTCAACAACTCACCTATGAGTCCCGACTTGAACCCCATTGGGCATGTTTATGACATGCTCGGGTGTCGATGAGACGACGAGATTATCCGCAATTACAAAATCACCATCAATCGACATAGGCTCTTTTACATAAACTTGGCAAGGAATTACGCAACGAGACATTCGGCGGTACATTAATATGCGAAACCGCTTAGAATCGGTGATCAAGAACAAAGGTGGCAATACCCGATATTAAATTGTGATATGCAACGTCAAATAAACAATTTTTTTTGACGTTTGTGAAGCTTTGCACAAACAATTTAAAACAATTTAAACATTCCGGGCACTAGGAAAAAAAATAGAAGCGTTTTGATATTATTAGGATTTCTTTAGGACACTTTGAGGTTGAAAAGTTACTGTCAAATATCCTTAGTTTATTCATCATTTGCAAAGTTATGCCAAGTTATTCAAATATCCTTAATTATGCAATTGTTTATCTTCTTTCTAACCAACGTTTTCACTTTGAAAATCTTTTTTTTTTTATCAAAAACCCATAATTACGACTTGTCGAGAATACTTTGCAATTTCCAAAACCCTGCTTGGACTTTCTGTGCGACTATTATTTCTCGAGTAATCGATTGTCAAAGTCAAAAATGATTTTTTTGCTTTGATCGACGATAACTTATAGCGACAAATAATCGTACAAGGCTTCGGAACCGCTCAAATTGAAGAGAATTAAATTATCTAAAAGTGCTTTATCATGAAATTCCCAAAAAGTCCATAGGCGTTTTTAAAAACAGCAAAAATTTACAATATTTTTCCGTTGATTTTCTTATGATTAGGTATTCAAAAACCGCTGACGCTAAAAAATTTTAAACTGCAGATCCGAAAACTAGTCACTTGAAGCTTCAATTTCCTTTTTTTTATTCTCTCTACGACCATTTCCCTCCAAGTTACAGCTCTTTGAAAATCAGACAAAATTTTGGGATTTTTTAAATATCCCTCAATTTCTGTATATAGTTTAGAATTATCCTGTAAAAAGAATTTAGATAATTTTGTATATGATCTATAGGCAATCCACAATACACCCTAGTGTATTTTATCCAGTTGCATTATTATACAGTTTGAGAATGTTTTTATGGCGGCACTGGTTGTTGTGAAAACGACTTAACCCCTAAATTCTGTATTATTTTAAATGTTTATGGCAGAAGAAATAGATTCTGGGTAAAATACAAGCGAATGAAAAATAAATTGTTGGTGTTTTAATGTTTCATTATTAAAATTTCAGAAAAAATGGAGATTCTCCAACAGAGAAAACAGTACCTATGGATACTCAAGAAAAACAGTTGAACAAAGAGCTTGATTTATCAAAATCCGTAGAAAATGAAAAGAGGCCGATTGAACAATCTGGAAATTGCTACTGGTACATGCTTGTTAATAAAAATGTTATTTAACCTAAAGTTTCCATTTATCCATTACCATTTATTTCAGTGGGAAGGAAAGAAACTTGAACATTGTCGAACTTCTCTGTGCAAACTGTAATAGATGGTTCCATGAATCTTGCATAGGTTATCAGTTAGGAAAACTGGTACCATTTTTATCAAACTATATATTTTTATGTAAAAACTGTTCACCGACTGGACTTGAAAGTTTTAAGAAAAGTCAAGCACGTATGTTTACTTACATGATTATGTATATCATTTTACTAATATTTACTTTTCAATTATAGAAATATCGCAAATGTGTGTTACGGCTATTGCAAATCTTCAACAGACTAGTTTTAAGGAAGGAATTAATAAAATGATGTTTAGCAAAGAAAAAGAAATTATACCATATATTGAATATCATTGGGAAGCTTTAACTACAACATCAAGAAGAGTAACTCAATCATGGCATGTCACTGTTACTAAAGCTCTTATTAAAGATATTCACGTTTTATTTGTGTTTGAAGATAATTTTTCTGAAGGTAATATGTATGGACTAGTAAACACAGACTTAACACAAATTAAACCAAACTATGAAGCTATGATTAAAGGAGGAACACTTAAAGTAACTGATATGGGCATTCAGCATGGTATGTAGATAATATACTTAAATACCTATTAAAAACTTGTAATAGGCAGTATTTCTGCAATTTTGGGAAAGAAAACAAAATCGTATAACTTTTGGAATCAAAACATCACTTATCAATTATGCTGTGTGTGAGAATGTCATTTGTTTCAATTGTTTTCCTATTCTTGGAATTCTAAAAATAAACTTTATTATTTTCTGAGTAATTATTAGTTATTTTATAACTAAAAATGGCTAAAACTAAAGTTATAATGATGAGACCAGCTGGTATGTTTAAAAGATAATACATTATTGATAATACTGATAAGATTTTATATGTAAATAAATTTTATCCCATGTATTATGTCAGTTCCAGTAGCAGGAGGAGTAAAGTCAAGAAATGCGAAAAGGAAGTTTCCTGGAGACCTAGGAAATTTAGGAAAAAAAGGTAGAGGAGTGGACTTGGGAACTCCAAAGTTACCAGCTCATGGATATCCATTGGATCACCCATTTAACAAAGATGGCTATAGATATTTGCTGGCGGAACCTGATCCGCATGCACCTTTTAGACAGGTATTTACAGAGATTATTTAGGTAATACTTCAGTCATATTTTTTTTAAATGTTTATTGCAAATTCATATAGGTGTACTTATTATTATTCAGTTTTATTTAATATCGTGAAAACTTTCTTTTGTCGACTGATGCAATTTTTGAGTACCTACATAGTGTCGACAGAATAATAAATTGTTTTTAATATACGAGAGCTTCATGTTATTAAATTACAAATAAAACAGAAAGGAAATGTAAATAAGTACTTAAACTGACCATTTTAAATTTTTTTCGTTATGTTTTGATATAATATCAATAAAAAATTAATAAACATGTGCATTGAAAATAACGTTTGCAAAAAGTCGCCAATTCAAATTTACAAATTGGTTGTTGTGTACGAAGCTATTAATTTTTATCACTTTATAAGTTCATCCGTAAAGAAACAAATTTTGGGGCTAAATCTTAGTACTTCCTTTTATAACACATTTGTAAAGAAACACATAAATTTAATAGAATCAAGTAAATTTTCAGACAAGGCAACTAATTATGAATATTTTGATAATTATTTTATAATAAGTCATTTATTTTTTTAAGTGGAAAATTTACTGCTTACTCCAAATTTTGACCGTATCTTTAATATTCCAAAAGGATGTACGAGTACATATGGGATTTTCGATAAGTTGATTTTAACATTATTTATTAACAAATGATTGGCCTTTTTTCTGTCAAAAATTGAGCTTTTTACTTCAAATTCTCGCCAATTACACAAAAATTACTGTGTTCAAAATGCCATACCTATTTCTCTGGTCATACTCATGTAGATTAAGAGATTGTTTTTTCCATCTTCAAATTTGCATCAGTTACACTGCGTGCTGTAGAGCACCTCAAATTCAACATGCTTCGTCAGAATGGCTCTAGCTTTGCCATTTTGTACTATTTATGAATAATAATTTTTTTTTGAAAACAATGGTTAATGAAAATTGAATGTTGTTATCCTCTAAATAACTCAGTTTCATATTGTTGCTGGCTTCATGAAAATTTGGGTTTGTGTTGGGTGTTATTTTCTTTGAAATAATGTGATAAATTAACAGATAAGCAAATTCTTCTCTGAGTTGTCAACAATACCACAGTAATGTTGCTATTGCTACCACAGTAAATTTAGGGTGGTGGGGGCATCTCACTGAGACACTACATTGTTCTAAGAACAAGGCTCTAATAAGTTTGCTATCACCAGTGAACTCTATATACTACCGTAGTATAGAGTTTACTGGCTATCACTTACTTGTTTATAACAAGTATTCAATAATAACTAGCAGCAGATTACATCAGCACCAGTTTCATTTTCCAATGAAAATTGTCCACCTGAAATAGTATTGAAGAATATAACAAAAGAAAATGTACTGTAAAGTTTAATGAAAACTGAACATTGTTGAATAGAAAATGAAAATATCTTTCAAACAAGTTGCTTACTTACATCATGTTAGGGATAAGATGGATGATTTTCAATAAAATATACTGGCTGTAATTTTTTTGTGATGCAGTAACTAAAATCCTCAGTACATTTTAACAACTTAATGAATGTGAATATTAAGAATACATTATATTATGATTAATCTGAATTGTAGTTATTTTTTGTGTCAATATTCTGTTATGATTTGAAACTTAAATGTATTTTATTTATACCAGGTCCACCATTAGTGTGTAGACAGAGGATAGCTCCTAAGCCTGAAGAGTTATCAAAATGAAATTTAGTCCATCCATCCATCCATCTATAGGGAGCACATTTTAAAATTATTTTCATTTTTCTGTACTAATCATATACAGAGTGTTGACACAAACTTGCATTTTTTAAATAGAACACCCTGTATATTTTTACATATTTGGATAATCCTATCAAAATGCAGCAAAATAATATAGGGTTTATGGGCGTTTCGATGGGCCATTTTCCTAATAGAGGCTGGTAAATCCGAAAACAGACTCCGATGCAGCCATTTGTAAACACTCAATATGATGTAGTTATAACGAATCTGCGACATAAACAATCATTGATAGTCTTGCAATTTCTTAGAAACCACATCAGAAATGTTGTCATTATTCTTTAGTTATACAGACTGATCGAGGTTTATGAATTCAAAAATTACTAAAAAATTTTAAATGGAATGGCCTACTTTTATTAGCTAATATGAAAAGCAGTATAACGAACGAAAGAATAATGACAACACTTCTAAGAAACTGCAAGGATATCAATGATTGTTTATGTCGCAGATTCGTTAAAACTACATCATACTGAGTGTTTTCAAATGGCTGCATCGGAGTCTGTTTTCGGACTTATGAGCCTCTATTAGGAAAACGGCCCATCCAAACGTCCATAAACCCTATATTATTTTGCTGCATTTTGATAGGGCTATCCATATATGCAAAAGTATACAGGATGTTCTATTTAAAAAAATGCGAGTTTGTGTCAGCACTCTGTATATGATTAGTACAAAAACATGAAAATAATTTTAAAATGTGCTCCCTATAGATGTACGCCTCTGGACTAAATTTCATTTTGGTATCCCTTCAGGTTTAGGAGCTATCCTCCGTCCACACACTAATGGTGATCCAGGCTTTAAACAGAGAACTTGTTAAGAGTTTCATGAGTGAATGTAGATTATAGAATGCTTCTTTTCCAAAACACGAGATGAAATTAGAAACAATCATCACAATTAATTCATTCTACAAAAAATGTGAGTATTATGTCAAAAGCGGTCAAAAGGTTAAAAAATCTCATCTTTACAAAATTAAAAACTTCCATGGCAATAGTTTTTTGAACTTTAAGCATATTTCATTGTATTTAAATCTTCATTTTTTAACAAAAAATTTCCATAAACTGTTTTTGTAGAACGAGTAGTTTTAAAGTTATTTTTTATTTACTTAACTGTGTGGTAAGATCTTTTATATTAGAAATGCCGTTGAGAATGAAAAGAATTTGCAGAATACTCATTGTTATAAAAATTTTGAGGCTCTTACGTCTTAATGTTACTGACATCCTATGTCTTTGCCACTGGTTGTTATATTTGTCTTTGTCAAAATCTTCAGATATTTAAGAGAATGTGATGTTTGTAATTTCAACATCCTATATTTGAAAATGAAAACATTCTGCATAATATAAATCGTTTTATCACCCTTCGAAGTTTTTTGGACTACCTTGTACCTTACTTTTTTTCTCAGGAATTTGATGAAAGTTCAGATTGGGCTGGGAAGCCAATACCTGGGTGGTTATATCGAACATCCATTCCAGGCACAGTATTGTTGGCATTGCATGACAGAGCACCTCAATTAAAAATATCTGAGGATCGTCTAGCAGTTACAGGAGAAAAGGGATATTCAACTGTTAGAGCTACACACTGTAAGTCATTCATGATCTTAATATATGATTTTTTTTCAAACCTGAGAATATTGCTGATAAAGTAAATTGTTTTAGCTGTTACTAAAGGAATTTGGTACTGGGAGGCAACAATAGAGGAGATGCCTGAAGGTTCTGCAACTAGACTGGGTTGGGGCCAAGATTATGCTAATTTACAAGCACCTCTGGGTTATGATAAATTTGGGTATTCATGGAGATCAAAAAAAGGGACACGATTTCATGAATCTGCGGGAAAACACTACAGTTCTGGCTATGGCGAAGGGGATACCCTTGGATTTATGATCGCATTACCACAAAATGTTACTACTAAGCTAGTACCTAACACTTACAAAGATCGGGTAAATTTATAGTCACTCATTATATTGTTTCTACTTTCTATTATTTAAAAAAAATTATGTTTTGCCAAATTAATTGTTTATTAGGATGAAAACTAATAGAATGACTTCTTTTTAGCCTCTTGTGAAATTTAAAAGTCACCTTTACTACGAAGATAAAGACAATGTTCAGGAGAGATTAAAATCGTTGGTTCCTCTTTCTAGGAGTAAAATATTATATTTTAAGAATGGTGAATGTCAGGGTGTAGCTTTTGAAGGGATTTATCAAGGTTCATACTACCCCACAATTTCCCTCCACAAAAATGTAACGGTCTCTGTAAATTTCGGACCATCATTCAAGTATCCACCGTCCACAGAGAAATACAGTTATAGAGCCGTAAGTTATCATTTTTTATTTGGATAAATTAACATAAAACAGGCATCGTACAGATATGGAGAAATTTAAAACTTTAATTGCATGGGTAGTTCTATTAAGATGGTTATACAAAGTGTTTCATGACAAACTGTGCAGACTGTAATGGCAATCTTGATAATTACAGATGATCAGTTAAAAAAAAGTAGTAGGTCAAAATTTGTAGATGTACAGGGCAATCTATGAATTTTTACACGTACAGGTGTCTCAAACTCGATGCCCCAGGGCTGCTATTGGCTAATAAAAAATATGAATAAAAATTTTTCTTGGGTGTTTCAAATAGGACCATTTAGGCTTGTGGTTTTTTATCAATTTGGGATTTTTTGGCTGTGGGTTGGAAACATCAGTGAAATTTTGACTTTTACGTTGCTGTGACGGCTTGGCGGTCTTCCCTGATGTTGGCTTTCAACCATTTTAGTGATCGGAACGAGTTCTGGGACACTTGTGATGGTTCAGATTGGAAAAATCAGCGAAATTTGAAGTTCTCTCTCGCACGGCTCATACGAAACGAAACTTTCATTAATAAACTTTTTTTGATATCACATTTCGTTTAAAAGTTACAAGCAGAAATTAATGAAAACGTACTTATTTTAAATCGACCAAAATTGAATTGGTCATGACTTAATTCGGTTTCCATGGACAAGCAGTTTGATTATTGTGAGGCAACTTATCAAATAACTGGTCAATTTCGAAATATTTTGTTCTTATTTTAAATAGTTTATTTCAATTAATATTATAACGCATGATGAAAAAGTTCATATAATCTCAAATTAAGGGGGAAGTTCACAAAAATTCAGGATGCGAATTTATCAGGAAAGATATCCCGAGTGCCGACTTCCTGATGACAAAAGATTTATAAGATTGGAAAGGATTTTTCGAGAAAACCAAAGGTATTTTGTGATCGAAAAGGAAAATCAATTTGGAAAAGAACTCACAGTGATAACAGCCAAGGTATTACAATATTTTGAAGACACTCCAAGACATTCAATTAGGCAAGCTAGCAGGAAATTTAATTTGCATAAGCCTCAATTCAAAGAATTACGAATAGTAGTAAATATCATGACTAAAAATTATACAATTTAGAACAAATAGGCGACTGAATACAGAAACGGATATATTTTTTTACCCAAATTATGTGGCACTCATAGATGTTGCTGACAGGCGAGCTTCTCATCACATTCTTTGGGCAAGCTGTTTTATAAACAAAGGCCTGACTAACAGAGGAAACAAACATTATTGGTCAACAGAAAATCCTCATTTTGTCAATCCCACAAATAATCAAGGTCATTTTGGTGTCAACGTCTGGTGTAGCCACCATCTAATTGGACCATATTTTTATGAAGGAATATTGAGTGGTAGAAGATATCTCAGTTTTCTTCAAGAACTTCTGATTCTTTTTGAAAATGCGCCTCTGCAACTAAGATCAATGTGGTTTCAACATGACAGAGTTCCTCCTCACAGAACACGTATTGTCTGTAATTATTTAGATGAAATATACCATGATAAGTGGGTAGGAATTAATGGTTCCATAAAATGACCAGGGAAGTCTCCAGATCTGACCCCCTTAGATTTTTGTTTATGGGACTTCTCAAAAACAATTTTATAAGACCTTGCAAAATATTGACCGTTGGAAAGAATTTTTTTCAGAGATTTAAAGAAAAGTCACTCAAAGAGAAGTCCGGCGACGCTTGGTGTGGGTACACATGTTGGAAGTGACCCATTTTTAAGCACAACGTCAATAGGCGCCATCTTGGCGCCGGCCACCAGATGTGGACTCATATACCTACCACCGCCTCGACACCAGGGCACTCTGCAGCAAACCCTGAAACCGTCAACATTACTTTTTCTACACAAGCTTAGTTTTCAATAAAAATAGTTTATCTGTACCGTTGAGAGAGCGTTTTATTCTTGCTGTACAGCGAAAGCAACCCTCACTTGGATATATTTATTAAAAGAAAAAAAAAAAACTAAAATTATAGTTCCAAATTTCCAAATTTTTTAGTGATTTTTAAAGGTTGAAACTTCTTGAATAATGGTCATATCGAGAAAAAAAAGCATCTTGAAGTTTGACTCTAGTTTTGAAATTTTGAAATGAAAAATTTTTTGAGCATGACTTCGCACTATCAAAATAATGCAAGGCAAAAATTTTACAGATTTTTTTTCTTTTTCAAAACTACCCTCATGGGCTCAGAAAAATTTTTTCTGGCTTAATCAGTGCCGGTGTCATTTAGCCTGATTCCTGAGCTTTAATTTGTTTTTTTTTAAATTTGAGTGGTCACTTTTTTTTGATCATCGATATGTCGTAATTTAATGATCGTACAGCGAACAAAAGGTGGGTTTTAGAAACTTTAATAAATCCTCTTCAAGAGCCTTTTGGTATGTTTGAGATAGGGTTTCTGGTCGAGACTTCTCAAAGCGAGAATTCCTGGGAAATCTGGCCTTACTCGAGACGAGAAAAAAGTGTCGAGAAATCGAGAAATCAGCTCTTTGAGTCAACTGGTAAATCATTGCCAAACCTTAAACATTTATATAAAGCTTTAATGACGGTAAAGCCAACATCGACAGAAAATGAACTGGTTTTCTCATTATCTGGAAACCGATTCAGATAATGCTATTAATGCGCTTGTATTTTTAAAAGCACATTTCATTAAAAAATACTTAGAGACAAATAGCTCAGCGGTTGAAGTGGTTTCTCACTAGCTCGTGTGTAGAAATTTTATTAGCAGATTAGCAGATATTTAATGTTGATTCAGAAAATATTTAGTTCCTCTTCGTTTAGTTGATTACATATTTTATTTTTGTTTTGTTAATTAAAAGATTGTGATTATAAGTAATAATAATAATTAATAATTAATAAGTTAGATTCCTTATCTACTATTTGTTTAATTAAATGACTGTGTGAATGATTATTATTAATTATTGGAAGGAAGCTAAGATTAAAAAACATTTAAATAAAAATATATTGAAAATGTTTAATAAAGAGACAATTTAAAGTAGGATAAAGGTTTTCAAGAAGAAGATACTCAAAGTTTAATTTGGTTTTGTTGGTCGAAGTAGAATCATTTGGAAGTAATTAATAAAAAAGACTGAATAAGTAATATATGTTGATGATGATTGTTAAGAATATTATCGTGTTTTTATTTCGAATTGCAATATCAAAATTATGACTTTTTTAAGTTTTACAAATTTCTTAAAAATTCGAGAATTCCCGGGAATTCCTAGTCGAGAATTCTCGAATCCCAAGAAAAAAAATAAGCCGAGAAATCAGAAACCCTAGTTTGAGACAATTTTTTTTATACTTAAATTACTTTTTCTGCTGTTTTGGGAAGTCGGTGATTACTTTGCAAATATTACGAAAAGTACTAATATTTGCGGGTTTTCCTGAATGGTCAGTTTTATAAAAAATTAAAGGAGCACATTTATAGCTCCTTAAACATCAATTAATGATGATTAACATGAAAAAATTTTTTTCTCACAAATCACTTAAAAAAATTGGAAATTTTTTCACTCCCTAAATTTTTTGTGCTGGTAACTTATAAATGAAAAGAGATATCAAAAAAGTTTATTAATGAAAGTTTATCAGAGAAACTCTGTCTTTGCCAATGTGAAATGAAATAAGTATGTCTCATGATGTCATAATAGGCATTTCCAAACGTTCCAAAAATAATATTTTTGGCTCAAATTCAAGCGTAAGTGATCCTATTTGAAACCCTCAAGTAAAATTTTTATTCACATTTTTAATTAGCCAATAGCAGCCCTGGGGCATTGAGTTCGATACACTGTTAATGAATCAGTTACAAAAACCATGCATTTGATTTTTTTCACATTTTCCTCAGCTTTTGAAGGACTAATAAAATTCTAAAAACACTACACTATCTTTTAATTGTCTTCAATTGGAATGGTTAAGATAGGATTCTTAAGTTTTTGACATGATTCTTATTGCTGACAAGAAAAATAAAGTCTGATTCAGAATTTAGAGCCGTTTACAGGGTGATAGTTCCAATATGTTATAAAAAGGAGACATAAGGGAATATTTCATATTTTCATAAAACGCTAATAACCATTTTTATCCTGCTTTGCCAGAAGCTTAAATATCCTACCTTTGATTTATTATACGAAAGTTGGTTGGTACTAATGGTACAACTTCCTGTGCTAATTTTACAAAAAAAAAAATTTCTCACAGGAAATGTATTTGCGAATCAATTTCTCAGTGGCGGCATAAAAGGGGGGGCGGTGGTGGCGGTCTGCCCCGGATGCCAAGCACCAAGAGGTGATAACTCACTTACGCTGCTTAGTTAGTAGACAATTAAAACTTCTTTGCGAGAAACTTGTATCAACACTCGAAGAGATGTGTGATCCCAATAGCAGCAGAGAAAACGTCGATACAAAAGAATCCGCAGTTTTACTAGCTTTGTGTGACTTCAGTTTTTTATGTTATCTTTCTTTTTGGTGTGAAGTCCTAGACGAAGTTAACCAGACAAAAGCATATACAAACATCTGGGCTATCGCTGCAAAAGTGTGACATAAAAATCAAAGTCCTAAAAATTTTTCCAATCAAAAAAGCCAACGTATCCAAATAGTGGAAAGAGCTATTTCGTATGCCAGGAGAAATGGCCCAAGACGCTGGACTAACATTGCCAGAAGAGCTGCAGAGAGCTATGTTAGAATGTTTTGATAGATTTTACGAAGAACTAGACCATCGTTATAGGACAATGGATGACATTTTCATAACATTTGGTATTGTTCAGCCTAAAACTCTTACGTCAATAGAAGAACTTTGTGTATAGTTCCAAATCTGACAAAAATATATGATGAATTTTCTGCAGAGGACATAATTTTGGAAATTTTATGACTGAGGCGCCATTTGGAAGCCACTAGCATTTCTTCCCAAGAAGCGATCCAGTGGACTACCTTGAGCTTCTAAGATTCACTGTAAAATGAGGTTATTCTGAGTCAGTTCTGAGTCTAGCGCTGTGTTTAAGATTTTTTAACTATTTGTGTTTCGGTAACTTCGTGAATGAAGATTTTCAAAATTAAAGTTGATAAAATTTTTCTTAAGATCCACGATCCAAACGCGACTAAGCAATCTTTCCATTTTGTCTATTGAAAAGGACAGGAAAGTAAAGTTTGATAATGTGATCGAAAATTTTAGCAAAATAAAGTCACGTAAACACGTTTAGCATTTGTTGTTTTATTTTGAGAATGCTCAAATAAAACCACCCCGGGTGCCAACCCATGTTATGCCGCCACAGAAAGAAGAAAGAAGCAAAATAATGACTTGTTCCTGCATTTTGCAAACATAGTAAAAGTTGTATGAATTTTATTACAACCGTTTGGAACATAGGGTATATGTCAAAAATAATATGTTTCGATGAAAATTCATTAATCACTGTATATTTGTAATTTTGGTTGCAGGATTTTTCAGTAGTCATTTTGTACTCATGTAAGTTGCCTCATTTTGCCATTATAGCATGTAGTTTGTCATGAAACAATCTGTACACTGAATAAATTACTTATAAAATACATTTCATTATAGAGGGTGTAACTTTAAGTGGGTGTCATATTTATACAGAGGCTTCCCTTGACCTTTAGAAACACCTATCGTTTATTTTTTCAAATTCGGTCATAAAAATATTTTTTTAAATCTTTTTTCAGTAATTTTCGTACGCCACCACAATCTGCTGATGGCTTCCAGCGATGAAAAATATTCAAATTCATAGTTAGATGTACTGTCTCCAAATGGGAAATACCAATTGACTCTTTTCACTTCGTCTCTATTGACCCTTCACAAGCAGTGTAGGTTGCCTACAATTCACGTGCTTGTAATACATGAACTGTAGGCAAATACAATGGTGGCGTATACAAGAATAAAAGTGCATTTTAAAAAACTAATTATAACTATTCATTTGATTAAAACAAAAAAGAAATTCAAATTCGTATTCAAGGGAACACATACTATTACCCCTAAAAATCTGACCCGCACTTGAAGTTACACCCTGTATGGTGAATAAAATACAATGGTTTTTCTCTTTTGTGATGTGGGCTATTTTTTGTGGCCATAAATTAAATTTTTTAAATTAAAACAAATTTCATAAATTTTTTACCCTGTAGCATTTAAAATATCTTAGAACCTAACTTTATATTTTTCAAAATATAAATTTGCTATTTTAGATGTCTGAGAGAGGAGAAGAAGCTATATCCGATCAAACTTTAGCGGATATCTTATACTTGACAGAAAATGAAGGAAAGTTGCGATTAGACAGTTTCGTTCTTTGACAGTAATACTTTATTATCATTTCAACTGCTCATAAATTGAAATCAAGAGTTTTAAAAGACAGTGTAAATTTGAATATCTCTAAAGAAATTATGAAGAAAAAACAATAAAATGATTTTATACTCTATTGAATGTGTACTAATAAATTTGTATGAATATACACATTGTCTTTTATTTACCGAATCCTCCTCTACAATTAGGACTAGGTTCAATAATTCTTTCACTTTCTTTCCACTGGTTAGGTGTTTCTGCTACAATGGATAAGGCATGAACTCCATTCTGTAATTCGTTTTTTAAGACATCATTTATCATTCTGTGCCTCTGAAAATAGAAACAAGTGTTTTTAAACAGATGATTTCAATCATTAATAAATCAAAAAAGAAAACGTTTACCTACCCTATAAAACTTTTTTTTAAGCAAAATGGAAAATTAAACATGTAATCAAAGTATAATTCAGGTTGAAGTTTTGAGTGTATGGATGATATAATTTAAATTAGCTTACTTTTATTAGAGGTAGACTATCAAATTTGTCCGATACCACATGTACTTTGAAATGTGTTTCTGCACCTTTGGGAACATTGTGCATGTAAGATTCATTTATAACATCCAAGTGTACTGGTTTTAACTGTTCTTTTAATTTATTTGTTATAGTTTCGGTAATAGTACCACTTGTACTCATTTTGCTACTTTGTTTATATATAACATAACCTGAAAGTATAAATATATAACTGAAAAAAAATAAACACGTATAATAATTTACCAGTTATTTTACGCGAAAGCTTAATTATGCAGCTCCAATCTCTTAACATATTTTAAAATATATTCATTTTGATTTGAAACTATTTAGATAACTTTTTTAAAAATATACTTCTGTCAGTTCCGTCTTCTGTCAAACTAGTGATGGGAGAACTCGAATGAAAAATCGAACTCGGATACTTGCTGAAAGTACTCGAATACTTTAGTATTGCAGGTACTGATTTAGCGTATCGAATGAATTGGAAGATTTCAAATCAAATCTACACACATATTATTATTGTCGACGATTTTTAAAATATTTATTGGAAACAAGAATATGATGAAACAATAATGTTCTTTAGAAAATGTTTTTAAAAAACAGCAAATTTAAATAATTCTACACAAAACTTTATACCGTCAGCGGCAAAAGTATGGAATATATATTTATTTAAAAATCAGATGTTCGTTATTTGAAAAATCATTCGGAGCCGTCGAATTGTATTTTTAGTTGCGAATTTTCTGAAACAATTTTCATTTATACAGAGTGGCCCAAAAAAAAGTTATGAAATCAAGGCCAATTTTTTAAATGGAAACCCCACTTTTTTGTATTTTTATTCAATTCTCCAGGTGATCATTTTTACGTTCCCTATTTAATATTTAGTTGCTTGACGACGCGACGGCTGCAGTGGGTGTTTTTTGGAGAGTTTTTAAAGTTTTTTGTTCTTTACAAAAAAACATGAAACGGTGCTAAAAATTTGCAAAATAACCTGGCTCGTAATTTAAATAGGTAGTGACATTTAACAAAATCATATTTTATACAATAAAATTATGCGTTTTTAATTAAATTATCCCTAAATATCTTACTTATATTTTTTACATTCAGGTCAATCATTACAGTATCATTGCATTGATTTGAAGCAATTTTCTGTGAATCACACAAATCTAAGATGGAAAAGTAAACATGGTTTTATTTTAAAACCAGTAGGGTAAATCTCAGGGTAATTTTTGAAAATTTTGCATACTCTATATTCAGACGCCATTTTCTCGAAAACGGTTAAACCTACTGTATGACGTCATTATGTGTTTTTTAAGCCGGTTTCACACAGAGATATACCTATGACTTCATACACGCACACATAGAGTAATGGTATATTTATTCATTACTTTAGTACCTGATAGTTATAAACTTCCAAGTTTTCAAATCCGATAGTGAAAAATATTCATTACTCGAATGCTTGAGCACTGCAAGCATTGGTTATATGTTAGTTATATAAGCTAATGTCGTATGTTTTCGTATGTTGTTTATTCGTTTGGCAACATATCCCCACGCTGGGCGCCATGTTATGGGCTTTGGTTGGTTAATTCATTTTGTGGTGATTCTGATTGACTACTATCCTTCCCCCTTAGCTTGTTTAGAGGATCATAAACCCTCACAATGCATTCGGAAGAATCGACTTGACCTCAGTNTTTAAATGGAAACCCCACTTTTTTGTATTTTTATTCAATTCTCCAGGTGATCATTTTTACGTTCCCTATTTAATATTTAGTTGCTTGACGACGCGACGGCTGCAGTGGGTGTTTTGTGGAGAGTTTTTAAAGTTTTTTGTTCTTTACAAAAAAACATGAAACGGTGCTAAAAATTTGCAAAATAACCTGGCTCGTAATTTAAATAGGTAGTGACATTTAACAAAATCATATTTTATACAATAAAATTATGCGTTTTTAATTAAATTATCCCTAAATATCTTACTTATATTTTTTACATTCAGGTCAATCATTACAGTATCATTGCATTGATTTGAAGCAATTTTCTGTGAATCACACAAATCTAAGATGGAAAAGTAAACGTGGTTTTATTTTAAAACCAGTAGGGTAAATCTCAGGGTAATTTTTGAAAATTTTGCATACTCTATATTCAGACGCCATTTTCTCGAAAACGGTTAAACCTACTGTATGACGTCATTATGTGTTTTTTAAGCCGGTTTCACACAGAGATATACCTATGACTTCATACACGCACACATAGAGTAATGGTATATTTATTCATTACTTTAGTACCTGATAGTTATAAACTTCCAAGTTTTCAAATCCGATAGTGAAAAATATTCATTACTCGAATGCTTGAGCACTGCAAGCATTGGTTATATGTTAGTTATATAAGCTAATGTCGTATGTTTTCGTATGTTGTTTATTCGTTTGGCAACATATCCCCACGCTGGGCGCCATGTTATGGGCTTTGGTTGGTTAATTCATTTTGTGGTGATTCTGATTGACTACTATCCTTCCCCCTTAGCTTGTTTAGAGGATCATAAA